ATTTACTATGGAAAATAAATAAAAACCATTCTTATTGGAAGTAATTTTCAACCTCTGGAAGAGTCCTTAATAAACCCACCTGGGTCATGATAGAGCCCGCTGATTCCCGTTCTCACCACTCCAGCAATATTTATTATCGTCGCATTCCACCTGGTCTGAAAATCATATTAAACGTTCCCAATTTTCGTATCACGCTTTACCGCAATGACCGTGAATTTGAGTGTATCATTTATCACGATAATGCTAATTGAGATGTTTGTACGGTTATCAGACCGATAACATTACTGTTGTTATTCGGTAATGGTTTCCGGATATTTCGAGATGAACAATAATAGCACATAATTGGCTCTAGTGAACACTTTTCTGTACCGCAAATCGACATCAAGCGCTGGTTTGATTAGAGAGTAGACGAAACGTGTAAGGTAATTCATTAGTTGTACTACGCTAGAGCTATCCTATAACTAACGTTTCCAGGATAAACTTGATATTACGACATTTAACAGATTCTTTCCACGAACATTCGCATCTATAGAATAATTTTTGCATGAGTGTGTCTGCTTGAACATATTTCTTACTAGTAAAAAATATAACCATCAAAGCTCTCCAGATTTAAATTACTCCTGCACTGGATGCGTATGTGCGAAATCGTCAAAAACGAACTGAATCAATTTCTCCATTTAAGGGATGTAGTATTATTCCATCACTTGAGGATTGTATAGGTTAAATCCAATCTAAATTCCAAAATATCTGTATTGTTTAGCGTTCTCTGTGTGGTATTGTAGAGTAGCTACCAGATTTTATTTGTATGACCTTCAATAAGTATATTGGTCATCCTAAAATTATTATTTATTTTCTTTCAACTAAAAGGGACTGTTTCATCCATTAATCTATCAACTAAATAGTAATTTTTAGATTCATTTTATAGCTTCTTCCAAAACTAGTCAACTTGTTTACTCGCATATAGTCCATGATAGTTTGTAAAACCTTTCATATTATCCATTCAAGATACATAGAAATGAGCTTTGAGTAAGCTTTGCCTAATTCTTTGTTTCTTGACTAATATGCGGCGTATGTAATGGATGTGGACGGTAACGAATGGTACAAAATAATGACTAAATTTTTAGGTGAACTTCTATGTACCTAATCGCCGAGGAGTAGGAGGTAAAGTAATGTTTTAAGTTTGAGAATTAGGATACTTTAGTTCTGAAGGACACCGACCCTTGGGCTTAACATTATAATGGTGAAAAAGTATTTTTAAGGATCAAAATGAAGGGCGACTGAAAGCCAAGGTCCAAAAAATTACCCCGAAATGAGAATTCGTTTTTATGTTCTTGCTTTATTCTGATACCACTCCAATTGCGAATAATGTTGAAAATGAAATTTTATGTTTTTGGGATGTTATATGATACGTGCATCATGAAAAACCATGTTACTCATTTCTGTCTGTCTGTACTGTATTGCAGTCAGCCTATCTGGTTATTTTTGTTCTTTCCATAACTTGGAAAGTACTGGTTGGATTTTGATGAAATTTTTACTCAAGGTTACTACTACGCCAAAGAGGAAAAACCTTTGTATTTTTCGAAAATCGACTTAGTGACCTCGGAGAGAAAGTACAAAAGAAAAACGATATAAGCAATATGGCTGCTGCAGATGACTATATTTCAAATCAAATAAAATAAAACTGTAAAAACATTTGTTTGGGCTGTTCTGAATACGATCCTGAGTTTCACCCGATTTATTATTGCCAACACGAGACTTTAATAGTGAAATATACCGCTTGCTGATCAGTTCAGCAGAGCTCAGAACGTATCGTGAAAAATCATGTTTTGACAAATATTGAGGTAAACAGCTAATCAGTAAGTGACATTTTTGTGTTAAGTGTGTACTGTTGGCAATCATGAATCTGGTGAAACCCAGAACTATTCATACCTGATACCGAGGAACGTTTATCTTCACATTCATACTTTCATTGAATAGCAATTATGACTATAAGGTACAAGTATACAAAGTACACGTAGAGAAATGCAATAAAATACTTAAAAGCGTTGTTAGGAAGCGCGAATCAGTACAAAAGGTAACAGCTTTTGAAGTGACGGGGTGTCGCCAAAAATGTCCAGCTGGTATTTATGATTTACGGTCATATTTTTTTCCAGTCGATCGTCTTTTCCACAAAGTCACTTTGAGAATTGAGTCATAAACAATAATGGGTTATCTGCTATTTTATACATTGTCTACTTTTTCTACGAGAATATCAAGATCTAGTCAAATGGAACAGTCTAAACATAGTACATGTAATTAGAATAACGTCAAAAACTCTTAGTAATGTTGAAAGTGCAAATACAGGTGGTCAGGATGTACGTCATATCAAAACGAAACTTTCACCCTGTATGAGAAAATCTGCGACATACCTCAACGACCGCGCAAAACCTTTAATGTAAAAGTGAAAGCAATCGGTCGCTCAACTTTCGATGAAGAAGAAATCTACATTGTTCGTGAAGCAACTGCCGAAATACATAAGCGGTCACCATCGAAAGTAAGGTGAATGAATTTCTGGGAACATCATAAAAACAGAGGAGCTGAGATCCGGAAACGGTGTCACGAGCCAGGCTGAGCTTGCGTTTCCTTTTCTTGAATGGATGGTTCACACCGAAAGTATTCGTGGGAGTGTCGGTGACGGATTGACATAATTTGCAGGTGATAATCGTATAGCAATGCTTCATTATGCACATACCTACATCATCAGTGATCATGGCCTCTGTAGCAGAAATGTCGGTAAAGTTGTTTAATCACCCTTCGCGGCTTAACTGTTAACCTGAGGAGTGCAAAGAGCCAGAGAAGTAGAGCAGAAACAACCATATGGCATGTTACATAAGTTAATTAACGCATATTCATGTCGTTTGGTTCATACCAAACCTTCAGTCTATCTTTCAGATACCCTACAACCCTATTCATGAATATGAGTTTGAACTAGTGAGAATTCGATAATGAATGATTAGTCCTTATAGCGGACTTAGGTATGACCTTGGTTCTGACATCACTATGACCAGTCTGTACTGACTATAACCCCAGAATCTCATAGCGAAGTAGCATCTTCAGTCAACCCCATCAGATATATCTTCGTGGCGTTAAAATATGTTGTGGCTAGACAACGATTCTGCCAGCAACCATAGGCCATCTCTTCTTGAGATAGCACTGGTCCTTAAAATAATAAGTTCTTGTGTCTGACGCATTGAAAAATTGTTCAAATTATACAATAAAAGTCGCGTCAGCTATTTATATTGACCCTATACTTCTCACGCCTTCGTACAAATTCGTAAAAAACCAAGACTTGATTAGGTATGTTCACTAATTACGACGTGTAAACATCTACATCTCAAACTATATAAAATAGATTCATTATATTTCATTTTCAATGGCAGATGATTGCAAAATATGAGAGTTATTAACGCCTTGCAACATTTACAACCGTTCACCCCCTACAACTTCAACGCCCAATTTCTAGTAACCCCATCTAATTTGAGTATGAGTATGAGCACCTCCGAAACATCCCAATACGATGTCTCAGCGATATTTGATTGTTCTAAATCCGCCGCCACTGAATCACCTTTCAAAACCTACAATGCAAGGGCTATGTATAGAGCGACTAGCGATTAGGGAACAGACAACAGAAAGACCTTATTTACTTTCTTGGTCAAGTAGCATCAAGTATCTCGGCACCACTCGTTACGTGTAATTAACCCACATGAATGCATATGAAGCACAGGGTCTATTTACCTGGCTCTGCAAACGATGGAAGTTATCGCGATTGAGAAAATATTCGAACTTCAGTTCAGTTCATGTTCAAAATTATTTCAATAACAAAAATCGATGTCATTCTGGGTCTGACTGTTGGCCTGTTGTTGTGAAGCAGTATGCAGTAAGATACTTTTACTTCTTCGGCAGAGGAGCGATGAGTATCGGCATCAAACCGTTTGTAAACTTCGTTTTCGCATGTTTCTCAGTTCATGGCATCTTTAGGCATAGCAAAAAGATTTTTAACAATTACCAATTTTCACGATAGTACTTCTATCCAGAAAAACATGTACTATGCAAATTAAATGTTTGGCCAAACGGGTTCACTCGTGGGTCATAAAATTCGGAAAAGGATATGGTAGCTGTAAAACCGGTCAAAAACATATTCCTACACAGCGCAAAACGTTGAAGTGGAAACTAATTCCTAACACCCAAATGACTAAGAAGTTACTGTTAGCCTTCATTACACTTCGAGGTGGCAGTAACGGCAGCGAAATGGTACGAACATAATTATATTATATTACACGATATTCAAATCGTACCTACACAATCATTATGTTCTCATATTGACTTACTATGCTGAACTGATCAATACTAGCCGGGAGCCGTTGCTTGTCTGTTTTATATTGCATGTATGTTTGGTAGTGGTTAATTTCACATGAGTAAAAGCGAAATCAATATCCAAAGATTTTAATGACCCCCAAATAAATCACCCTGAAAATTAAGCTTCCTGAAAATTGCCCAAAAGGTAGAAAAATTCCAGGAAACTTCAGGAAAATATACCAATATAGCAATGCCTTTGACACGTCGTATCACGATTTCGTTTTTACCAGTTGCCGCTCATCTTTTTTAAACATGAGTCGATTTTCAAAGACTTAAAAGCTTTTTTGCTTTTGTAGTAATACTGTGTGAAAATTTAACGTTAAAAAATGAAATATCACAATTTCGCAATATTTCTACGCCACTGACGATGAAGTAATGGCACAGCAAACTATACATGTGATGGTCAAATCTTCGTGTTTGGACATAATCCTACCCCTTGTGGTACGTTCACGTTCGCAAAACATTTTTTTATCCGATGAACTGCAAATATACTCACATATAACTTAGTATAAATACACTTAAAATGGCACATTTGTATATTTATCCGAGGTTGATCCGAACCTAAGAAAGCCCCTGGAAGTGGCAGAAGAGAAAACTCCATTTACCTTCGAAAGCATTATTCAAGTTGACTCTGACTGTTCTGGACTTGACAAACTCCATGATCTTATCTACCAATGCGTTGCTGAGCAGGATACTCCTGCCCGATCCTTCCTCAGGTATGACCTCCGTACCATTCTTCTCCGCAAAGTAGTTGGGATTCTTTTGTATCTCCATGAAGCCCACCACAATGGGCCGATCGTCCATGATGGTTTCATTTAAGGCTGCTAACGCCTTTTCCTGAAAAAAAACATTAACGTTGGAATAACTAATTACCACAATAAGTTACTATCCGAGGGGATATAACCTTTATACTCAACTTGGTAACCATGTCTATGACGCCATTTGAGATTGGCTCTAGACCTCCTACGCCTTCATTGGAGGTTTCACAGAAAAAGGATGAGTCAATTCGTTTCTAAGGCGGAATCAAATCGTGACTAGGTATGTTTATGTCATTTTTCATATTTTGGTTAATTTATGGTTGGTGAAGGGTTGAATGTCATTTCAAAGAAAACTTCTGTTTGGCTGTACCGATTCTGAAAGTCTTGAGCTGGGATGTGTCGACGTTTCTTTGAATTTTTCCGAAAAATGTTTTATGTTTATCGGAAGGTTCATTAAAAATTATATAAAATGGTGAATCGCGGATGAATATCTTTAGTTGTTATAAACATATATTACAAAATAGGCTTAATCACAGGTGTCAAGTACTGCTGGATAAGAAGAAGGATTTATGTTATGAATAGTTGCGTAAAATGTACCAATATGTCACGATTTCAAGATATTTTACTTTAAAATTGTTTTCACCCGTTTTCGTAACCAGCAAGCGGCGCAGCTATAGCTTGATAAATGAAAAATATTCTCAAAATTTTTCCAATTGTACCACATATCTTATCTCAATTGCCTTTGAAATATAAAGAATTCAGAAAAGGACGCGAATTATGAGATGTGTTATATCCATTGTAATATTCTAGCGGCCGTTTCGTTTGAACGAGCGTATTAATAAAATCTAGTGTGCCATGTCATGAGATTCTAGGAGTGAAACAAAAGAGTAAACTAAGATAAATTAGTGCAAACGCCAAATATTTGATGAAAGCCGTTCGAACGCGTCACTAGATATGAATAACTTGTCTGGTAGTACTCCAAATCGCAAGGAAATCAAATAAGTTCCTTTTAGAGCCGCATACATCTTTTAAGAAACTGATTGATTGAAAAAATATTTAATTCTTTTGCTTCCATTCTTGAATGTCATGACATGGCAAAGTAGATTTTATTGAACCTCTTTTAAACGAAGCAGCCGCTATAATATTACAATAGCTTTAACATACAGGGTGTCCAATAAGTACCACGACAAACTTAAGGAGAAGGTAGGCTATGGACTGACCTCACAATTAACAAAAACTTACCTATACAAAGGTGTTCACCGTTTTTGAGATATTGAATTTTTTCTTAAATTTAAAAAAAAACTAACCTTTCCATCTGTGTTCTTTAGCCGCATGTACAAATAAGGTTAAACTTTGTTAATTTTTTCTATAAAATTATTCTAGATAGTTGCTTGATCATATACAAATGCAATGTAGTTAAAATATATTAAGGAACCATGATGAAGTAAGGACTATTTTTGGATTTATAACCTTCTGATATTTTTTCCTCAACCGTGACCATCCGTGGTGAAACAAAAATGTACTGGGCTATAACTGTATTACATTGAATAAAAATATTGCTCATTGAATACAGATTTCAGAAAGGCACAACACGTACTATTTGGAATAGAAAAAAGTAATAGCTGCTGTTGTAAGTGACTGACACACACTACAATGTAATTATTGGATTTAAATTCAAGTTGCACTGGTTACCGATCAGAGACATGCTAATTAGTACAAAGATATATACATTATTATTACCTGCTCCTGATATGATTTTATGAAAGCTGAGGAAACAATATCAGAAGATTATAAATCCAAAAACAGTCCTTATTTTATCATGGTTCCTTAATATCTTTTAACTACATTGCATTTGTATAAGATAAAGCAACTATCTAGAAGTATTTTATAGAAAAAATGAACAAAGTATAACCTTATTTGTACATGCAGCTAAAGACCACAGACGAAAGGGTTAGTTTTTTGAAAATTTAAGAGAAAATTCAATATCTCAAAAACGGTGACATTTTTATATAGGTAAGTTTTTGTTATTTGTGAGGTCAGTCCAAAACTTACTTTCTCCTTAAGTTTGTCGTGATACGTATTGGATACTTATTTAATAATTCAGACCCTTAGTGAATCTAAATAGGACAACTAGTTAATATATATTTTATGCACTTTCCGATCAATATAAAGAATCATATCGTTGTATTTGAAACTTTACAAGAAATCAAAAAAAAGATGTTGAAACATATCGCTGGCTTAGAGTTATAAGGTTCTATGTGACAATTTGGTACTTTTGTAAATAAATGCTCTCAAAGTTCTATGACAACCATGCTTCGTATTGTTCCGGGTTCTATGTTTTTGTACTATGAAAATATAGGACACTATTTCATAAGACTATGTAGCAATATTATATCTTATAAGTTACAAAGTCATATGTTCTCCATTAAACTTAATGATCATAATATTTTATTCTTTAATATTACTCCAAAGTCGTATGTGCAACATAGAGCTTTGTTGCATTATTCAATGTTTATTTTTGGGAAGACCTCACTCTACATGAAACTTTTCTTCTTTTGTTTATGTTGTAAGAATGTGGTAGTGGTGGATGTTTTTAGTATAAATAAGATATTTAACTAAAGTAAAAATGCTGAAGAAGATCCTTTTGGTGGTTATGATGGTACAGAAATAACAAGTGCTCTTTGTAAAGTTTTGTCAAATGTAATGAGGGATCAACCGAACATAAGGCATTTAACCCTATGGAGTGAAGCCTGTGTCCCTCAAAACAGGAACTCTATAATTTCGTTTGCTATCTTTGGCAAACGGATAACTTGCAGTAATAGATGCACTTATTTGTAATAATGAATCTTTTGTTAGTTCAGTATTTGTACATCCTTCACAGTTTTCAATGCACAAGTGCATAGATTATCAGCTAAAATGTGATCAGCCTAGAATGGAGCCCACATTTTTTACGCATCGTGATTTTAGTAAAATCCATGGATTTGCTTTCAGAAATGAGCTGACAAACTCACACCATGAATAAATATTCGGTATTCATGATGTGGATTTGAAAATAGAAAAATTCAATAAAATCATTTTAAATGTATTCAACAAACACATTCAGTTGAGATCTGTTAAATTACAAGAAGAAAAGCACCATGGATAAACGGTAATATCGAGCAAGGTATGTCTGATAGGGATAGAGCCAGTATTAAAGTTAGGAAAAGGCATTCAGAGGAAAATGTCATCGAATATAAACGATTGAAAAACTTAGTCCATCATAAAATTGCTCGACAAAAAAGGACATTTTTAAAGATCCTGACGAAATTCATAACTATTTCCTTCATTGTATTCCAAAAAGTTGTAATGACCTGATGAATTGACTTCTATAGACAGAATAGAATTTGTGCAAATATATTCCGTTTCAATCTAGTCGATGAGTTAATAGTTTTGAATACACTCACGACTATAAGGAACACATCTCCGGGCTCTGATCACATATCTATATCCATGATCAAACTATGTTTATTTTGTCTTTGTTAGTAAACATTATCAATTCGATAATAGTAGCATCAAAATTTCCTTCTGTCTGGAAAAATGCGAATACTATACCGATCCCGAAAACTAATAATCCTAAGCAGTTGTCAGATTCAAGAGAAATAAATATTTTATGCGGATTGTCTAAGCTTGTAGAATAAGTATTAGCAAAACAACTTATTGATTATTTAAACACGCAGTCGGGATTTCAAGCAGGTTTCAGCTGTGCAACTGCGCTGCTTCATTTAACAGACGATATAATACAGTCGTTAGACTGGGACCAGTCAACCGTCCTTGTGCTGTTAGACTTTAGTAAGGCTTTCGACAAGATAGATCATGTAACACTTTTAGCTATCTTAAAATCCTGCGGGGCATGTTTTGAGCCTTTGTAGCTTTTCAAATCCTACTTGGAAAATCGTTGTTAAACAGTCAAGCTTGGTTCTCGAACATCTGCGTCCATGACAATAAAATCAAGTGTGCCGCGAGGTTCTGTGTTGGGACCATTGCTTTTCACATTGTACACTAGTGAGTTTACGAAGTTTATTAAAACCAGCTCAGCACATATAGTATGTACGCAGGTATATCGTTCTTTCTCGATGACTGGAAAATAGAGTAACCAAATTAATCAAGATCTTGCTACTCTGGCAGATATTTCTGCAAAGCATTTACTCCTACTACATCCTAACAAGTCAGGAGCTATGGTATTTGCTAAAAAATCTGCACGCTAGTTTTTGGAATCAAACTTGAAAATAGATGTAAGTAATACTATCATTGAAATTACAGGTAAGGCAAAGAATCGGGGCTTATTCATTGAACAGGATCTAACGTTCAGGGATCACATAACGAAAAGCATAGAGAGAGCAAACGCATCGCTAAAATTACTATACCCCATAGATCATATTTATCAACACACACCAAGAAAATGTTGTGCGATAAGCTAGTACTTTCACAATTTATATACTATATATTTGGTCCATGTTTAGATCAAAACAGCGTTAATCGTCTTCAACGTGTACAGAACTCGTGTATTTGATTCATATACGGAATTAAAAAGCATGAGCACGTTTCCCACAAATTGAAGGAATTGAATTGGCTAAACATGGAGAAAAGCTTGCGCTTATATGCTATCTGCTCATTTCACAAGATACTGTATTATAAGAACCCTCCCCCTATCTCTACCAAAATTTGTCATTTCGCGAAGACGACTATAATGTTGACACGAGACTTATGCACCTAATCAATATACCATCTCACAGGACAGTTCTTGTTGAAAGAAGCTTCAAATTTACAATTGCAAAATATTATAATTCTCTTCCTTATTATCTTAAATCACGCAATCCACATAAATTTAAGGAACTAGTTTCGTATTACTTTATGACCAATTAAATTATTACAACTTCCAAGTTTAATTTAGGAGACCCTATGTGTGTTTTTTGGTTAGTGTTAGGTTAGGATATTTTTTTACATGTATTCTACTACTGGCAAGGGTTGAGTGGAAGACTCCTCCTTGAGGTTCTCCCAATATCATAGTGCGAAGATAAAGAACATTATTATTATTATTATTATTTGTTATTATTATTATTATAATTTTTATTAATAATATTATTATTCACCAGAGCTTCCACTCTGTAAAATGAAAGCCTTAAAATTTTGTGTTCAAATGGATTCTACTGATTGACCAACAATTTTATCAAGCCAATATTCCTCAACTTAAACCGAAAACAAACAAAAAAATAAAATATAAAAGTCACACCTATATTATTATATGTTATGAATTGGTACTATTTTTGATATTACATTTTTGGTGATATTTGAGAATGCGACAAAGTTTTAGTTTAATCAATTTAATCTTTCTTGGTAAACCAATACATTTCTTGTTTTCAAAGTTCCATGTTGCTTAAAATGTATGCTAAGTTTTGTGTTCTTCTTTAACATAAACAACAGTTGAGAATAAATATGTTCTATGTGTTTTTGTTTTTTTGCGACAATCTTCTCCCAATAAATATTTATTAAGCTAATGCTAGGAATGTAGAGCCATCTTGTTACTACTTTCTATCCAGCAGGTATTTCGCTTATTGATTATTCATAAACTTACTACAAAAGAGCTTGTACTTTAAACTCGTTTTTATCTAAAAGTTTATATTGTAACTCAGAACCTTAAACCAGCTACCTCCCGGCGGATCTCTAAGGCGGGGCCAGAAGGTGCGCATGTTGCATGCACACGCGTTCCGTTGCTAGAGCTCGTGAGGCGCCTACCCCCCCAAAAAACGTAGGAAGGAGACAAACATTTCATAGCGAAGATAAACTACTGACACAGGTTCTATCAAAAAGATTAAATCCAATATGAACAGGTTTCTTAAAATATATTTTTAATACCTTTACAGACTGTGTACATAATGCTTCTCAAGTTTATCATTTTCATATGACCAATTCAGGTAGCAAATATCATTCTAACTTAGGCAGTGGCTCACTGCGGTGCACACAATATTTATTTGGCTTAACATACTAGGATATGAATCACTCTCGCTGCTTCTGACACTGAACCCATGTCAAATAGAGAATGAGGTATTGTTCACCTAGACAGTTTTGCGTTCTCAATAATTGGAACTGGTCGTTTACATTCGTCTGCCGAGAAAGATGCAGTTGATACTCGTTCTTTTGCTTATACGTTGGAAGAAAAACTTATTTGAAGTTTACACGTTGCACAAAACAACGTTCTTTGGTGACATTTTTTGGTACATTGCTTAAAAAACTTACCTTCAGACAGCTCGCTGGGTCCTTGGTATTGAAGCAATCCTTATAAGTGGCGACGCCCTTCAGGATATCTGTCACGTTTTGGGCAGTCAAACTTCCTACAGAAATCAACAGCACCAAATACACGATCACATACATGGTGATAGACTAAAATGCATCAAATGATTGTCAGGTTTTATATATATGAAAAAACATCAGAGCGTGTCCTTTTAAATGGCGTTACTGTTAAAAATCTACTTTAAGGAAATCTTCAGCGAGCAGACGACTATCATCAAGCTGGGAAGATGGTGTTTAGGAGACGTAATGACGGTTCGGATTCAAGGTTAATGGAATGAACTTTATTTCATGGTCTCTTTGCGATTGCAAATGAAACTGCGATTTAGACGGTACGTGATCGGTTTGACCATAAACACATGTTTTTTATTGAACTGGGAGGAGGACTGGTACCGAAATCTCGCCATCCCTTGTACAAGTATTTATTGGCGTGATCAAAAGTGTGCAGATTTTCAAATGAAAAGCCAAGTCAATTTCCAATATTCACAACAATGTACTCAATCTATGTCTACAAGTTTTCCCAAATACCTTATTAAAATCACTATACCACTTGCGTCGAGCTCCGGGGACTTTCGTTCAAAAACCCGGAAAGATGTTTTTGAAACTAAACTGATTGGAATCTTAAGTCATCAGGATAGTTTTGCAGAGTGTAAAATAGGTGAAAATCGAAAGAAGCTAAGTCTAGGTGCTTGACTACTTTCCAACAAAAGCAGTCCTTTGTGATATGCACCTTAAAGACTGACTTCTCCAAGATGGAAACGATCAAACCATTTCTCACATGTTATCTGTACTTAAAGCCAAGCATATTTCACACAAATTCAGCCTCTTCTGAAGCGTTGCAAAAAACAGGTACAGCAGAACCCCGATTATTCGAAATAATATGGACCAAAGTGCTTTCGGATAATCGAAATTTCGGATGAAACGGAAATAAATATACTTTTATTGTAAAAAGTAAATGCGTGTGTTATGTGAGTATATACCTATATAAAGATACGTAAAATATAAACATGTGGATACAATCATACATATTTATGAGTATTTAGTAACAAAGGAAATAATTTTTAACTGTACACGTTTTGCATTGTTCCTATTTTTGGCAGTAATATCCCTCCATCGTTTGATGAGTAGCCCATCAGCTGCTGTCACATTTTCTTGTTGTTCGACGTAAGTCAACGCCTTTTGTAGAGCTTTTAATCCCTCAGAATGTGATATTTTGGCAGAGATTTCTGTTTCATTGTCAGTAGAATCGCTTAAAACAGTCTCAGCGCTATTGTTACAAACAGATTTTATTAGTTCTGCATCAGTTAATTCTTCCACCAATTCGTTACAATCAATCCACTCACCAACATCTGCTTGGGTAAGATTTTCACACCCTGCTATTTTTACGACGAGCTCATGTAAATGTTCGTTGTTATTCTCATAGTATGCGTAAGGTTCACTTTCTTGATTAATTATTGTCGACCGAGATTTTGGTAAAGTAGAATTTTTTACTAGGCTCCATGCTTCAGCTATCCAATATGCCACATTCTTGAGGTTAATACCTTTTAAGCAATCGACGAGGTTACAACCCAATCAACTTCATCTAAAATTTGCTCTAATAGCAAAAGTCTGTAATTACGTCTTAAATTTTCTATAACTCCCAGATCCATTGGCTGGAGCACTAACGTTATTTTTGGAGACAAAAACATCGCTCGTATTTCTCCACTTTGAAGTTGCTCCTAACTTGGGTGGCTCGGAACATTGTCTAATAGTAAAATACATTTTCTCGGATATCCGCGTTCACTCAAATATCCTTCTGTCTTGGGAGCAAAATGATTGTGAAACCAATCCTTAAATAGAGCGGCATCCATCCATGCATTTTTTTTATTTTTATATCACACTGGAAGAGCGTTGTAACAGACGTGTTTAAATGCTCTTGGTTCAGCTGATTTGCCGATTAGCAACAAAGGAAGGTTGTGTGTACCGGGAGCATTACTACAAGCAGGGATAGTCACACGACCCTTACTGCGTTTGAAACCAGGAGCTCCAGATTCTTGTTTTGAAGCCAAACTTTTTGCCGGTAACATTTTATAGCTTAGGTTTCTGGATTTAAACCATACTGATTCATTAATTTTTTTAAATGTTTTCCAAGCTTTAATGCTGCGGACTTATCGGCAGATAACTTTTCTCCGCATACTTTTAATTCCGTATACCGTATCGTTTTTTCCATCTATGCAGCCAACCACCACTAGCTCTAAACTTATCAGGCGCCTCATTAATTGGCAACTCTTCACTTATGTTGACTGCCTTTTGGTTTAGAATTGGTCCGGAAATTGGTATTCCACGTTCTCGGTTCTGTGTAAACCACAGATATAAAGCATCATCCACTTTTTGATATTCCCCCTTTTTCGTAGTTTTCCGTGACGGCTGCGATGATGTCAGAACACTAGACCACTTTTCAATTTTCTCGCGTTGTTTATTCCATTCTGAAATGGTACTTACGCCCACAGCCAAGTCACTTGTCACTATGAACCTGGATGAAACGAACATACACGCACCCATACCAGTGAATTCCGCAAACTCGCTTGGAGAATCACCGGCAGCGAATCTAATGACGCAAACAAATAATCGGGGTTCTACTGTATTTCGATTCTACAGAAGTGTAACCATTTTGATTAAATTTTGTGTATAAGAAAAAAGCCTAATAAAACAAGAAGCAATGAGTGTCCTTAATCATGCTATAGAATATCGGACTTCTGCAATGAACTGTCGATGCCGGTTGCACGAGTTATAGCTTTACACTGTTATGGTAGGTACTGCCATGTCTAAAAATATCTGCAGAACGTCTCCTTCGACCAAATTCATCACCAATGCGAGAATGAGTAGACTACATAGTCAAGGAAGTTCGCGTGGGCACCCCAAGCCGCGGCTCACACTGCCAACAGAATTAAATGGTCGTCTTTCAGGTCACCCAAAATCGCTTTTTAATAATACCCTCCTTTATTTTTTAAACCTTTTTTCCAGCCATTGCAACAAAACTGAGACCTTACTCTATTGATAGTTGCACTTTTCACTGTGTCTTCTTTTTATTTATCCATTGTTTCTATACTCTGATACATAGGCAAATCATGTTCAACGGATCTGCATTAAAAGACCAACATCAAATGATGATAAAAAGCCATTGCCTGTGCTAGAGGGTGCAAGTAACTAACTGAAATTTACTAAATTGACCATAAACAAGTATAATGCATTGTGCAGGGTGCGGCAGAGAGGATGAACGGTTTAAAATAGTTAATTTTTACTCGAAAACAAATTTATTTATGGAATCAGGTTCACAAGGAAATAGCGTTTGAGACAGTCAAGTGTGGAGAATCACATCAGGCATGTGGTGGCCGAAATCGTTGATGCAGTGCTGGAGGCGTTCTTGGAAGTTCGCGTAGACTCTCTCCAGCATCGCCCTCTCAACTTGGGCGACTTCCACGCAAATTTCGCCCTTCAATTTGTCAACAGTTCGGGGCTTGTTCGCGTATACTCTAGCCTTGAGGTGTCCCCATAAGCAAAAATTGCATATGGATAAATCTGAGGACCGAGGAGGCCAATGAACATCGCCAAACCTGGAAATAAGGCGACCACGAAAGAGAGGGCGAATAACGTCAATGGATGCTCGGGCTGTGTGGGCGGTCGCCCCATCCTGCTGGAACCACACACGTCGGATTGGAACACGTCGCCGTCGTAATTCAGGGAGAAAGAAGTTGGTGATCATGTCGACGTAGCGCTCTGAGTTCACCGTAACATCACGACCATTACCGTCTTCGAAGACCAATGATGCAAGTTTGCGATACAGCGCACCAAACCATTACTTTTGGGCTGTGCAGCGGTCTTTCGTGTAACTCTTGCGGATTTTCATTAGCTCAATAACGACAATTCTGCTGGTTAACCATGCTGTTTAGGTGAAAGTGGGCTTCGTCACTCATAAACAAAATGAGGTTCTCATTTTGATCGATCAGTGCTTCCATCTCACGTGCGAAGTTCATTCGTTGTGCATAATCTCCGGGCTGTAACTGTTGCACAATGGCCAATTTGTAGGGGCAAAAGCGGAGATTCATATGCAAAATGCGCCTTACCGAACGATCACTAAGGCGAAGTGCAGCAGCATGTTTCCGGGCAGATCGAGTCGGACTGCGAAGAAAGACCTGTCGAACGCGTTCAACATTTTCAGGAGTTCGAACTGTTCGCGGCGCTCCTCTTGGTGTTCTGTTGATCAGTTCACCACGCCTGCGAAGTGATTCAACCCAACGAAGGATGGTGTTTCGAGAGGGAACAGCTCTATTCCGATGAATGTTGAAGTGGCGACGAAACTCACACTGTACGACGATGACTGACTCATTATTTCGGACGAAACAATCATAGGCGAAAACGCGGTGCTCCACCGTCCATGACTCCATAACGACAACTGGTAAAATAATGCTAGGATCCCACGAGTCAAACGGCGCCCTCCCCACCTCTTTCGTAGACGGTGGTGGAGAGTACTACCCATCCCAAAAACGTCCGTCCTCTCTGCCGCACCCTGTATAACTCAGCCCAATGCTGGAATTAGTTCATGAAAGATTAAGTTCGGCACAAGTTGGCCTCTCTTATAAAACAGTTGCTACCGACATGAATAAAAAGGGATCTACATGGATCAAGTCAGTCAAAGAGGCTGATATAACCATTTCCCTTCTTTAGCCTATTTGACAACGTTGCCATCTAATCACAGTTATGATGACTAGCGGCCAGCTCGCAGCGGGTTCAGACTTGCGTCCTCGTTGTGCTTACTTGACCGGTACCACTGAAATATAATGTCGACATGGTAAATATTTTTACCATTCTACCGGCGTTAGTAGCGTATGAAAATACGAACGCCGAACAGTTGTGACATAAACTCCCCTCAACCGCTGCAACTCTTCCACCTCCATCTTTATACCTATCAAAAGGAATAATAAAAAAGAATTACAGTTTTTATGGTGTCAAATAACCAGTTTGGTAATTTCTATATGATATTTCATATATTTCATTAATAGAAATCCATAGAGATCTTCACTTTATCTGTATTACAAAGTTTCGAT